GATCCGCATCTGAAGACAATCGCCCTTTGACTGGACTTGCGGCTGCCATCGCCGGAGCGAAACTGAGGAAAGTGTCCCGGGTAAATGCACCTCCACATCTCTGTGCTTTCTGCTTGTGCCTATTCTCCCTCAGTGACTGGGATAGCGGATTGACTGTCTTCTCATTTCATGAACCCTCTGTTACTTCACTGATTCAAAAATCTGAGACAGTTTATACTCGAGAGAGAATACAGCTTCTGTAAACCCAGCACCCAGACTCACCACTTCACATTTTACCGTATTTGCTTAATTCTTCTCTGTGTGCATGTGTTTCCTTCTGCGGGACACACACACTCTCCCTTTTTGTCTAAACTGAGAGTGAGTCAGACACACCACGTCTCCCGTCTCCCTGAACACTGGGGCGTGTGGTCTGTAGGAACAGGGACGCTCACCTACGTGCCCACTGGAGAATGATCAGGACTGGGAAGTTTGGACTCTTCTAATCTACAAATGTATTCAGATGTCACGTATTGTCCAACACTGTCCTTTACGGCAGTTTTCTAACCCAAGATCACTCAGTACGTTTAGCTGTGACGTCCCGAGCTTGTCATAAAACTGGGATAGTTCCTTCACTGTTTCATACGTGAGGTTGACTTTGGCGAGCTCGCCCTTCAGTTTGGTTTCCCCGATAGTTTTCTCAAGATTAGTTTTGGATTATGCATGTTTTGGCAGATTACGCATTTTTTTGCCACCAGAGTGACGTGTCCTTCTCAGTGTATGGAACAGGGAGACATGTGGTAATGTTTTATTCCATTATTGTTGATGTAAACTTGGATGGAATTTCCACTGATTAATATAAAGTTAGTGCCAATCACTCCATTGGTTCTTAAAAAGATTTAAAAAAATAATAATTGGATGTTTGTATTGAAATTAATGTCCTAAACACAGGAGTTTACTATCTGTCCATATTCTCATTAAGATGGAGGATGCCTCTTTACCAAGTGGAGGGACTACCATTGGTGTGAACCCGGCCTCATCGAAGTCAGACACGGGTCGTGGGAATGGACCCCTTCCTTTAGGAGGCAGTGGGTTAATGGAAGAAATGAGTGCCCTGCTGGCCAGGAGGTGAGTGAGAAACTATGTGAACACGTTCGGAATTGAGAGGATTGTGTTCATTTTATTCAAGTACAATTTAACTAGATGCCGTTCTTCCCTTTCAGAGTAGTTTTTATACTAAGAGATGAATTTTTTAAAAATCTGATTTATCTTCTTTCTAGGAGAAGAATTGCTGAAAAGGGATCAACAATAGAAACAGAACAAAAAGAGGACAAAAACGTAAGTTCATAGAGTCTACTGCAACTGGAAACAGGAAAGCCAGGCGTAGCTCATTCAGGAAGTGATATCCGAGATTAGGTGGAACTTAGAATTCCTTATTTTAGCTTTTCACGTATTAGAAATGGCTTGTTTCGAGCATGATGTATCACGTTTTCATAGCCTTCTGTGTGCGACGGGCAGGGCATGGGGACCCGTGGGGAAGGAGCTGCACTCAGTTGTGGAGCGAATGCCGTACATTCAATCGATGTCCTGAATCTCGTAGGGTCTCCGTTTCCTTGCACTGAGAAGGAAGGAATTAGACTAATCCCCTAGGAGCCCCGTGGTTATCAAGCTGTGTGCCCGCCGTTGCTTCCCCACTGCATTTGGGCTTCGGCACCCTTCCTCCCGCCTGTCGCTCAGTAGCGGTGGCTGGTGCCACTCAGGAGGATGGGGGCCTGTGGGGGACAGAGGAGGCAGTTCTGGGCTGCAGTGGAAGGGAGAGGAGGCTAATGAAGGACACAGTGGGAAACGCAGCAGGCATGTTGGACATGGAAGCGTGTGAGCCCCTGAATCTGTGCTCCAGGTTTCTGGCGGGTGCCATGTGATTAATAAGTGTTTCTATTTAGGAAGATTCGGAGCCCGTAACTTCTAAGGCCTCATCGACAAGTACACCCGGTAAGTTCAGGAGGTCTATTTTAACCTTTATGAACCTTCTCAAAATACTAATACTCCTCAATTAAAAATGCCCCATTTACCCATGTTGGGACCAGGTTCCTGCCTGGTGATGAAAGCGTTAAAGTTTTCATTCACGCTTGAAAGCAATGACTTGCTTTTCCTCTGCCTTTGTGAGATGGAGCGATCCATTAAAACCCAAAGGTTTTTTCCTGATGATTCTTTCTTTGAAAATCATAATTTTTACACATTCCATGTGTACTGCTGTTGAAGATTTGAGGCTCTTCACTAGAGCACGGAGACATACATCATCAGATGAAAGAGAAGTCCTTTTAGTCCTGGATTCTTAAAGGTGAAGTTTAGGTGAGCAGGTAGTTAGCACTCATGTCCATGTCAAAGCATTCTCAAATGGAGAGAGAGCGCTGTCCTTTTAGCCATACATTGGGGTAATACTGATAATCAGGGAGATAAAGCTTCTCTTTTGTAAGGAGAAAAGAAACCTCGTTACAGCTTTGGGGAAGTGGTGTTGAACTCAGCGAGGTTTCTGATGTTGAAGACTCTAGGTTGCGAGTATATTCCGTAGAATATGGACAGACTGCCTCTCCCTGGAGGCATCTGACCAGCACGGCGTCTGTGATGAGGATGTGAGGTGCCGTTTCGTGTGTTGACTAAAGTGAAGAGTGGGTCTACCTGTTCAGCTTTTTATCTAATTTGAAATAAAGTGACGTGAATAATAAATTTGGTAATTTCGATGAATTAATATCTAGAATGGCCCATGAGAAGTTTTTATAGAGAAATGTCCATGTTAATTCCTACCCATTTTGAGTTGGAGACTACCAGTGACCTCTAGAATTCCACTGTTTAGAAATTCTAAAAAAAAAAAAATTCTGTTTTGGTGATTGTAACCCATTTGACAAAAAAGAAAAAAAAGTCTCACATTCTCATTACTGAATGGTGATTATTCAATATTTTGATGGCTGTATTGTGGTTAATATTGTGACTTTGTGAATTGTTTTTCCTCTAAATAGGACTCAGATCAGTTTGTTGATGTTACTTTCGTTAAAAATTCTCTGGTTTATGAACTACTTACTGTAATAGCTTTATTTTCTTCCAGAAGCCAAAATTAACATATATGCTGATACTGTAGAACTCCACTGTAAGTTAGGGTCACAGGACCGTTTACAAGTTGAAAAGAACTATGAATCCGCCCCCTGCCCGCCCCCTCCCCCCGGGGATGACCGTATTTTTATACAGATTTGCTCATAATTTCATGCACTCCCTGAAGCTTATGCAGACCCCAAGCTGAGAACTCCATGTCTAATAGGGAGCCCTGCTTTGCTAGAGAGGCTGTGCATCTCCCGGTGTGTGGGCTTCCAGTGTTGGAGACTTCGCTTTCCCAGGGGGCTCGTCACACTTGCTTACTAATGTCTTCTCATTTTAATGTCTGAAGTTGTACAAATTAGAATCCTTACAGATTTTAAAGTTCAGAATTGTAATTAAAAGTTTTTCATTTGTATTACTTACATAAACATGTATGATGTTACTTAGTATTTCGTTATTTGTTTTACAATAAGTAACTCTGGGAGCACATAGGATACTTCGTAACTTATGTTCCTTATTTTTAAAGAACCAACCAGAAAACCTTGGGAAAGAACAAATACAATGAACGGCAGCAAGTCACCTGTTATCTCCAGGTATGTTTGTTTTCTGACTTTTATGCTACATGTGTATCTAAAAAGAAATTAACCTCTCCAAACTCCAGTGGTAGATTTGAAATAGTACAAAGGAGCAGATGAAATCTGGAATTCTTCTGCTGGAGACCACTGAGCACCATCGTACTTTTCCTAGTGATTGGATGCTTACTGTGAGCCAGGTTGTCTGAAATTTTAAGATAGCTTTTATTCCTCCCAATTTCTTTATTTTGAAAAATTCAAAACTACAGAAAAGTTGAGAGAATAGTGGAGGAACCCAGATTCCCCAGTTACCAGTTCTGCCCGCCTCCCTTCCACACATGTTCCTCTGGGTTGGAGAGCAGTTGGGAAATCCTTCAGCATTTTCCGTAAGAACTGGGATATCCTTCTGTGTAACCCCAGTACCATTGTTGCTCTCAAATTTAATGTTGAACAATGGTATTATGTAACATATTCACATTTCCCCAGTAGTCTCAATGACATCCTTCATTTTGTAAATGTCATTTTTAAAAGAAACTTCTATATTTTAAATTGAAAAGTAGCTGGAGAGAAATGCCTGCAGTGTTTAAGAGAGAGCAAAATAAACCTGAAGTTTTGAATTTGTGAAGTAGAAAGATTGATTTCTGTCTCAGTTGGAACTTCTAGTTATAATCAACTTAGAAAAGATAGTGCCCAGAAACAAGACTAGTGAATTTCTCCCAGTGGGCGTGAGGCATGGTCTTAGCAAATTCAGCATTTCTTAGCTAGGCATATTTTATTGTCATACCAAATTTGTATCTCAGGTCTTGCACGTAGATGAAACTTTTTCTGGATTTATGAGACAGTTTAAAGGACTTAAATTTTTTTCCAGAAAAAAAATATGTGTTTAGAGACTAAAAAGTTTTTGGCCTTTTCTCTCAGAGTTGTTTGCTTTATTTTTACCTCTTAAAAGGCAAACTTGACTCTATTAGAAAAATACAAGGACAGACCTCACATTGCCACAGATCTGTTCAGTGTTAGCCTAAATCTAAATTTGGATTTGTTTTTATGTGGTTCTTTGTTCCTGTAGGAAAGATTCGGTGATGACACAGTTATTTAAGTTCCTCAATGCCTTTTCGACTGTATAGAAGCTTTTAGTTTCTCAGTGACTATAAGATGAATGTATTTGATTTTAGGAGAAAATGCAGGAATTGCTTTTGGTGGACATGTTTTCAATAGAATAGAAAAATTGCACATTTGTGTTTATCAGATACCTGATTGATGTGGCCTTCCAATGCGTCTCTGGTAGTTTTTATAGATTTTCTCCACGAGCACATTTTGAAGCCTGATTTATCAAGTACGTATCAGAGAACAGAACAGTGATGCCCCATGTATCTTTGAAGACATAAATGGGACGGGAAGAGTTTTTCTCTTTGTGTCTACTCTTCATCCCTACCTTACTGATACGGGTTCCATAGTGAGCCTGAAGTGAACCCTAAGTCCATCGAGGGACATGAAATGGCTTCTCCAAATGGAATAAAAGTTCCTTGACATGTTTGGGTTCATTTAAAAAATATTCTTTGAAAGATTTTTCACACTTCTAAAGGAAGTTTAGTAAGTGTTCTGAAAATCACCATTTAAAAAAGACTCTTCTGTAGATTAACCAGATACTGGTTCTTATTATCTAGTAGTGTATCGTTATGGTGTCCTGCTCTGGTAGGTGGTTTTCTTCTCCTTTCCTGAAATGGAAATTTGGAAACGCCATCGCTTCCTGACCACTCCTACCTTTTGATTTGATCCAGCCAGTGATACGTGTCTTAAAATTTCACCGCAAGCAGTTTTAAGCCATGAAAGACTTTAAAAAGTATGTTGGAAGGACTAAACTGGATGGCTTTTCGTCCCAAGTTTTCTCCCCTGTTCCTGCTGAGAGCCAGTGTATTAATACGGCCACTTGATGTTTTGTTTTTATTGAAGTGCACCTCATCCTTTTGTGGTGGTGAAAGTACCCCTTTCTCTTAGGAATGTCCATGTCGAGGTTATGTTAGTGATAGGATGGATCAATACCCTGTCATACACATGAGGTGTACTGCATTGTGCTCTATTTATTAAGCAAAGATGCCAGATAGTAGGGTAAAAGCAAAAATGTTGTCATTAAAATTACCTGAAGCTATGACTGGAATGTCCCATTGGAAAATTTGTGAGTTTTCATATTCAAGAGAACATGTGAAAATTTGTGAGATCTGATATTCAAGGTAGAAAAAGAGTTTCCATGCTTTTTTTCTGAGAAGAGTTAATTTTGTACTTCAAACTACAGTGATTTTTGATACTTATTGATACTTTGTGTAGCAGCTTTTACTATGTCTGCAATCTCTAAAAGTGGTCATTGCGCCACGATTTCCTTTTTGTTCTCTGTAATTGTCAAATGAGTATCTTAAATAACCAGAATCAGTGTCCAAGTACCTTCTTTTGTATTGGGGAAAAAACTACTCTTTTAAGGTTAATGGACTCCTTTCATTGTTTTGCTGTGACTACAAATCTATAAAACAGGAACATAGTGCGAATTGTTTTTTAAAAGCTCTATTGTATTTCCCTTTAAATGGTTTTTCCCCTTCATAGACGGGATTCTCCAAGGAAAAATCAGATTGTTTTTGACAACAGGTCCTATGATTCATTACACAGGTATCATCCTGATGTGACTTTGTGGTTTGAGACTTCGAAATAACATGTTGAGGATAGGGCTGAGCTTTTTCTACCTGGATTGGTAATCACCACAAGGGGAGATGCTTGAGGAAGATCGAATCTTTCATATTAGCTTTATTTAGAGCAATTTTTAAAAAACACTAAGAGATTTTAAGTAGAAAAGTTAGTAGGGTTCATTCCCCTGCCTTCATTTTCTAGTCGGATCAGGGTACCTATGAGTGGTGGACACACCAGCAAGGCCAGAGTGGGGTCTGAGACCCCCTGTGTCTTCTCCAGCCACTTGGCAGCTCTTGCATTTTCTTCTGAAGGCTTTTCTCCTTAGAAGCTTGAGACAAAGCCTTTAAAAGGTAGAGAAGAAGATTTGTACTCTGTGTCAGTGGAACATGGGACTACATTACAGCCACACTTGTGAAAAGTGGATTCCTGGACGAACATCTGTGTCTCGTCCATTCGTTGCAGCAGATTGCGTGCCTTTACCAATCTGACGTCTCCCGTCCTGGGCACGTGGTTTTCCAGGATGAGTCCTGTTACACCATTTTTTAATTAAGAAAATTAAGAACCATTTATTTCCTTCTTAATTAAAGAAATTGACAATTTTTTATAAAAATCCTCAAGTGTTTAAGCTTTATATTTAGAACTGATTTGGAGGAACAGGGGCTTTAAATATTGTGGTAGTTATTTGATAGGCAGCTGTTTAGAGGTAACACAGAAACCTCTGGGAAGGCCTCATACTTTGTTATCAATTATGGTGAAAACCCATAGATTACAAATCACCGAGGTTTGCCCATGTTATCATATGCACCTATTTTTAAATATACACATCAAGTCTCCTGGGAGCATGACTTAAATAGTATATGGAGGGGTGTCTGTGGCAGTGAGTCAGGGGTTGTGCAGACTGTATTTGGCCAAATTACTTTCATGCCATTGATGATTAAAATATTTGATAAGTTTGTCAGCCAGTTAAATCTGCATAAAATGTTTGTATTACACGCATGAAATCATTTTTCCTGCTTTTTTCAAGGTGGTTTAATCATTGTCACCAAAAGACTTACTTGGAAAGTTTGCTAGTACACAGGAAAATAGCATTTAATGAGATTTTCTGTTGTTAATCTTCTCAGTTCTCTTGCTGCTTTCCCACGTAGGGCCCCTTGATAGAATAATGTTGATAAACCTTTTTTAAAAAAGTGGTGATTACTTCTTTCCTTCAGTATGAAAAGTTCCCCCCTTTAGTTAATTATCATGGTGGTGGTGGTGGTGGTGGATTGCATGTTAGCATGAATTAAAATTTCTTAATTGCATGTTTCCTCTATAGTTTATTATGTAACAATAATGTGTTGTATTTAATAAGTATGGATATATTCATAACATACTGCCGGTTAATTAGTGGACTACAGTTGCTCATGTGAATGTTGGGGATATTCATTATATAACCTGGGAGAAAAGCATTCACTGGTTGTACCACTTAAATGTGAAAAGTGAAAGAAAAGCAGAGAAATTAGGAGTGTCAGTCTGGCGAGCAGGAACAGAGAGCGTGGGTAAATAAAACGCAGTGTGTGGACCGTCAAGGGTGTTCCCCAGATCGGCCTGTGCTCAGGACACCTGCCTTGTCTGCTGTGGCTCTCTTTACCTCCTCTGTGACCGGGGGTTGCTGCTGGCCCCTCAGCAAAGGGAGAAGGTGTATCCTCTCTAGAGGAAAGGAAATGTGTCCTATAAGTAAGTCTCTTCCACCGCCCCCCTATGCCTAGCTCTCAGGGCTTACTGAGTGAAATTTTCTGAAAGTTGTTTTCCCTGGTTGATCCAAGCAGGGCAGCAGAGATCTCATAAAATAAAACTGGTTGACTTGCTTTACATGACAACTTGTTAAGCAGCCATATGTTTGATATGAAAAGAGATTAGCTCAGTATTTCATTTTCACAAACAATGCCTGTGGGTTTGGAGTATAATATGCCTTGTAAGAGTTACAAAATCATAACTTGGAAAAGTTACGGTGCGTACCGAGTTTTGATTCAGATTTGTGATGTTGGTCCTCTGCAAACCTGAAGACATGTGACTCAGCTGATAGTTTTCATCTACACCGAGTTGTGGTCCTCAAAGCATAGCCACTTACCATACTGAACCAGAACATAGAGGAGTGCCCAGTTAAGACTCTAGATTTTCCCCTGGGATTTCCTCTACTTGCCGGAATTGGAGAGGAGCCATGACTGGTTTATTTGATATTGAAACTTTTGCTTAAAATATACCTAATTTCTAAGACTTACTTCTTCGTGTAGAATTTTTAATAGAAGCTAAACTTCTGAATGTGTAGTAATAATTGGCAAACTGCTTCTTTGTGGCATTTCCTTTTTTTTTTTAAAGATTTATTTATTGGAGAGAACGAGCGTGCACGCACGTGGGGGAGGGGCAGAAGGAAAGGGAGAGAGAGAATCCCAAGCAGATGCCCCATGAGTGTGGAACCCCACGTGGGGCTCAATCCCGCGACCCTGAGATCACAACCCCAGCTGAAACCAAGAGTCAGACGCTTAACTGACTGAGCCACCCAGGCGCCCTATTATTATTATTATCTTTTTTTAACAAAATTAGTTGTAAACACGTCATTCAGATGGCATCTCCATAAAAACTTGTCTGGAAACAGCCACATAGCCAACTGGATATGAATATACTTTTAATTATTTCCCCAGCATTCTTACTTATTTGGATGCTTGAAATGGCATGAAACACATAGAATGAATCATGCTTATTACTCAAATGGTTTTATCCCATAAACCAAGGCATCGAATTTGTAAACTGATGTATCTTAGTGGTTGGTCTGCCAGATGTTTAGTAGGCTCTGCACACTTTCAGAAGAACGAGATTGCACTCCTCGGGCCTCAGTGTCGCAGCTGGTCTGGCGTGTCCGTCCCTGTCAGCGTGCTGCACACGATCCCGTTTCCCAGAGAACGCGCTCCTCTGCCCTTTACTGAAGAAGTGTCTTCATCCCATCACCGTTGTCTGATTTGTTTACAAGTAACTGGAAACATTGAGCAAAATGAAAAATACTTTGTTTTCTGTTCTAATCAGTCCTGCAACTTTGACAATTAACTTTTTAACATCTGTGTTTTAAGTACTGAAACCTGGTGTTGGGTTGGTAAATTTGCAATTTTTTGTAAACTCTTAAACATCCCAAGTGTTGTTTACCTGTCCTGGAAATTCCATTTGTACAGACCAAAATCTGCACCTTCATCACAGCCCAGTGCCAATGGCGTCCAGACGGAGGGGCTAGACTACGACAGGCTGAAGCAGGTAGGCGCTTTCCCTCCGCATGCACTGGTCTCTCTGGAAAAATGTCTGGTGTGCTGGCATTTGATGGGTGGTGAATGTACTGGAAAAGAATAGAGTTTAGGTCTTTCTATGCAAATGAAACAGTGATATGACTACTGTATTGCTTTTTCAAATCTTCATTTTTTTGGGTCAGTGTGTTCACGTAAAGTTCCAGCGGTGGTGGAGAGTGGGGCAGGTGACTTCACGGTGTAATATAAACTTTAAATGTCAGTGCATGGTGTATAATTGTAAAAGGAAAATGGGGTTGCACTTTCCGCTGATGGTTGGCAAAAATGGACCCAGCGAATCTGGTTTTGGCAAGAACGTGAGGGAAATGGGCACTCTCGTATACTTTCATTTCCTAGAAGCAGTTGGGAAAAGAGATGACGAGCCTTAAAAATAAGTATCTTACCTTTGAACCCAGCAATTTCACTTCCAAGAATGTATGCTAAGAAAATATTGCAGAAGTATATAAATCTGTAGTGTTGGGGAGGGCCCCGTGGTCATTAAGGAATCAAAAATGAGAGTATTGAATACTGAATGATGAAAAAAGGATCTTGTCCATATTTTGGATACCTCTGCATTATACACGTAGGTACTCAAACAAGAAAGGGGAAGGAGTGATAGGTGAGAAGATGTGTGGGCCTTTAAAATATTTTATTCCCAGAAGAGGTAAAATAATTTTTAAAAAAATTGGTAGTGTTAAAAAAAACTTAAAGGGAGGGCCAGTGTACACACCTTATTAGTAAGACAGTGGTCAGTTTCACAGACCTGAACCCAGGTTTGCTGCAGCGAGCAGGGTTGCCTTGGGCTTCCGGCCCCGCACCCTGGGGACCTCTGAGAACAGTGACCCACACCACTCCCTGTCGCAGCCTCGTACTGACCTGCTGGTGGACGTGCAGGCCAGGGGCTGGCTGGGCTCCTAGCACAGTGCTGTCTTCTCGCCCTCGTGGGAGGCCGGGCAGGCAGTGCTTATACCCAGACTCTGCACGTCCGAGGTTCCGAGGCGTTCATTCCATGGCTCAGCCCCACAGCTCGGTCAGTAGCTGAGTCAGGATCAGAGCCCTGAGATCTTTGCTCAAAGCCTGTGTTCTCTGTGCTGTCACTCCTTTGTCAAATGTCTGGGAGCTCAAAAAGGGACCAAGAATGTTGCAGTCATAGGAGTTCAAAATTAAAGTCAAATATGAATTAAAGGGAGAGATACTAACAATAATTTCAGATAAATCTAATTTTTATACTGCAAAGCTATTTGAGAAGTTAAATTGAGTTATATAGTTTGAAAAGGAAGCTTGAGGTCATTGATAATCAAGCCCTAATTTTCCTGTATATTAAACATGGCTTTCTTTTCTTGAAAAACACTTTAAAGTAGACGCTTGCACACACTTGAAAACGTGGTAAATTCTTGGCTATCTGAAGTGTAGTGGAGAAGAGAGGAAAGGTTTCCTGTTAGGGCTGCTTTTAATAATAATTTGAATAAGGATATCTGATAGTTTGTACTAATAATTTCTGTGCTTGTTTTGTCATTGGTAAAGTGGAGGAGTTATAGTAATTGATAGTTTCAACCTTATTTTAAACATGAAAAGCTTTTTAAGAAAATGAACCTTAAATAGAGCGATTTAATTTTACCCGAGGTGTGCAGTAATAAAGAAGGTCACATATTGGAAAGTAATCCATCCATAGGGGAGGTGTTATTCTTCAAATTGTGTCACCTTGTCAAAGCCCTTTTAGCTGGCATGTGACATTGTTCTTGGTAATTTGGGGAGGGGAGGGGCAGAGGGAGAGAGAGAGTCCCAAGCAGGCTCCATTCCCAGCCTGGAGCTGGACGCAGGGCTTGATCTCACAAGGCTGAGACCATGACCCGAGCCGAAATCAAGAGTCAGACGCTCAACTGACTGAGCCACCCAGGAGCCCCTGTTCTTAGTGATTTTTTTTAAGTTTGGGTGGGGGTAGGGTGGTTGTCCATTATTTCAAAGTGAACTTATAAATACAGATTTTGCAAAATATTTGAAGGTGGAGTGGTTTTCATGGAGGAAGGAGCATCTAGAACTATTAAATCAATACAAATAGGGATCACACAAGTACTATAACATTTCTAGTAGCCATATTAAATGAAGAGAAATAGGTGAAATTCATTTTAATATATTTTATTTAACTTAATATAACTAAAATAGTATTTCAATATGTAATCACTATTTTAAAATTACTCATTATTACACGTTATTTTTTTCACACTAAGTCTTTGAAATCTGGTGTGTGTTTTCCCCGGCAACGCATCTCATTTCACACTGGCTACGTCTCGGGTGCTTGGTGGCTCCATGTGGCTGTGTCTTCTGTTTATCGGTTCGGACCGTGTAGGTCCAGCAGGGGCCCAGCCACCCTCATCCTACCCGTTAGGGCAGCCCGTGAAGCCGCTCCAGGGGAGTCTCGGGTTCCTAGAAGCATGGTTTGGCAACTGTGGTGTTATTCCTAAGGAATCCCATACTTCAAACCAGATCACAGATTGGCCAGGATCTGCTCGTCTAGTTTACTTCTCCTGTTCCTTGAAATTTCATTACGGGCCATCTTTCAGACTGCTCCGAGAAGACGAGGTTGAGGGCAGAGCTATTCCTGTTCTAGAAATTACCTGAATCCTACCTTTCACTGGATGGCAGAGCATTCTAATGTTTCATGTTTTGCTAGGCTACAATAAGCAAAGGCTGGGAAGACTGTTAAAACAGAATCATTGCCCGGCCTGCTCTAAGACAGCCTTGTCTGGGAGGGACTCCGGCAACACAGACCATTCCTCAAACTTCGTATATTCCTAAAATTCTGTATGACCAAGAATATATGTAGTGGTGATTTTTTTTTTCTGTATTCCTGATGTGTTTCTCTCATATTTTAGGACATTTTAGATGAAATGAGAAAAGAACTAACAAAGCTAAAAGAAGAGCTCATTGATGGTGAGTATATGAACAGATTTGCTGTCCCTGTAATGTTTGAGAATATCCTTTTTTAAGGAAATGCACATAAAGAAAGAACCAGTTTATTACTTGAGGGCATAAAACAATTACTTTTGCATAGTATCCTGCCCTTCACTTGGCTTATTAGGATGTCAGGGAGGAGCCCTCTCCTTCTTACGGTGGAAGTTATTTGTGAAAATAGGAATGAACGAGGTCCCTATGTGTCAGGGCTTGAGTAGCGTCAGATGGAAGTCCAGGCGGATCGGCCCGTCTCTGGCCTCGCGTCCCACCTCGCTGCCTTCTCTGCGGACTCTGAGCTCACAGAGTCCGTGTTGTCATTTTGCACACAAAAGGGAGAGCGCAAATGAGAAAGTGTGTGTGTGTGTGTGTGTGTGTGCGCCTGCACATACATAAATCAGTACCGTCTTTGTGTCAAGAAAACACAGGTCTGTGCAGTGTAAGATACAGGGTCCGTTCGTCTCCTTATTACTGGGAGTTTGAAGACAGCCACTGAGATTTCTTAGGAGTGAATCACTCATTGATTTTACCTCATCGTCGTATTGACTTGAAATACGTTTCCTTTTTGTGCCCAGCGATCAGGCAAGAACTGAGCAAGTCCAATTCTGCATAGAGAGACGAGCCGAGGAGGAATAGGACTTTAGTCTGGAGAAAGGAGAAAGACCCCTGCGAACAACAGCTGTTAACGACAACAAACCCCTACATTTGTGAGCTGTGACAAAGACAGTGGAGACAAACAGTCAGAAGGAGGAAAACCAACATCCTCGCGAGCCTTCAGACGCTATTGCTCTGGCGATAAGCTATTTCCCTCCCAGTTTGCTGCTTTTTTCTGACCTTTTCAATAGGATGGAAGAGTCGGATGCGAATTCCTGTTTCATAGTTATGCAGAAAGTACTAAACCCATCAGGCAAGATCGCCGTGCATTGAAATATTTTCATGTCAAGACAAAATAGCACGTTTTTCACAATCCATTGCTAAAATAAAGAGGAGAAAGGCTTAAGTTTGTTTTCAGAGAGTGCTGACGAAGAATTGAGCAAGTTACGCTATTATATCGTAAATGTTTCTCTCAGGTTTGTCTTCCTATCACATTTGATATTCCGTGAGGAATGGAGATCAGCCCTGTGTAGGTTAATATCCTAAAATGTGCAACAAATGGAATTGTATGCGTTTTCCAAGGGTGATATTTATAAGAAAGTGTCCTAAAAATGATTTGTCTGGCTTGAGGAATTTTAGAATGATAGGAAGTCTCTCGAGTTAGCCTTCATGCAATTTTGTAGATTAAAACATAAAAATTGTCCAGAATTTAAAGATTTAGATGCCTTCCTAAATTGTTAAAATGCTTTACCAAATCTCTGACTCCTACATAATACACACCAGTGGTCAAATGTAAAACAATATATTGTAGACTTACTGTAGGTTTTCAGCCTTTTTTAGATTTATGCATGTGGACATTTTTATAATGTAATTACAACCACCACAAAATTAGCTTTTTAAATTGCAGACAGTAATGCATGTCCCACTAATACGTAGCGGCCTTTTCAGGCCTGGTCCCAGGGAAAACCTTTTGTAGAGTCTGGGGTGGGTGGGAGGAAAGGAAGGAATCATTTTTTTTTTAAAGTTAATTTCTGCACTGTCTTTGTTTTCTCAACGACCTGCATGAATACTAATGAGGACTGTTTTGTGACTTTAATTGGTAAATATGTTAGCAGAACCAAGTACTCAATCTTTTACGTCATGTCTTCAGCTGTTCGTATTTTAACTTGAGTGATTTCAATGGTCTGAAACATGATTCTGAGCTTCACATGGATTACATTGTACTGTGGAACTCGAAAATTCGATCCCTGAATTTGGCAGTTATTTACTATCTAGGTGCCCTGCAGTTGGACAGGTGTTCAGGTACATGTTCCTGACCATGAAGCTGCTTTTGAATTTTGTTACATGGAAACACATGGAGTAGCCATGTCCACAGCAACCAAGGTCACAGACACCACGTGGCCGAGGGGACCGGCTGAGGGAACCAGCGAGGTGCTCTGCATGGTTCTCTTGTTGTGACCGAGCAAGATTCACGTGGTGGGAAGAAGGACCTAGGTGGTCTGCTCACCCCCATGCGGGTGTGCACGTAGTGTGCACGCCTGTGCGTGCACATGTAACCCACGCCCTTCTCCTGGAAACTCGCAGAGATTAAAATGGAGAAATTCTGTATGTTGCAATGATAGATTTTTTTTTTAATTTAGGAAATCACAAATTCTCCAGACTCTCCATCTTGATTTATTCTTCAGTTATGTGCCATATTTGCTTTGAAATCTTTGATTATCTGAAGTTTTTACTAAAATTTTGAAGAAATCCATTTTCATCTGCTTTCTAGATTTTGTAACCTCAGTTGGTCAGACAGCTTGTCAGTAGCATAGTTTACCATTCAAAAAAGGTTTGAGTGAGGGAATTGTTTTCCTTGTTAAAATAGTTCCTGTTTCTGTAGAGACTTCAGTTTTAGATTAATCTGTGATGGATGAGCTATCATAATTCACATCTACAGTTTTGTATCCACCATTCATCGTCAGGCAGTAGTAGGAAAGGCATTCAAGCTGCAGCAAGCCTCTAAAGTCCTGTCTTCTAAAAGAAATTGGAGGCACTTTGATCTTTATTATTGTCCTTTTGATTATGCAAACACTTGGATGGTATAAACGCTCACGTCCCCTATAAATCTGGTGAGAAATCACTTGATTTTGTTGGTGAAGTTAGTCTCTAGTAGGATAGAACACTGGGTACAAGTGGTCCAAAGTCAGAGAAAAGACTTACAGCAACACGCTGGATCTTAGTGCGGAGCTGGCGTAGGCACTCGGTGTCTCGTGCCTTGGCCCGATTCTCCCAGGAGGTCTGTGTAACGGGACAGGGCCAGTGCGGGGTCACAGCACGTTCCATCAGTGTGCGTTCGTCCGGATCGCTAAATGTGTTCTTCCCAATCACTGTACACATTTCCTGTCCTACGGGACAGTTTTGTCATCGTTAAGAGATTTCAGTAACTAAAATGGGAAGCAGAAGGTTAGGTGACTTTCCTTGGTGGGTGATGTTCCTTGGAGCCCGTCATGCCGACGGTGTTCATGCTCTGTGCTCACTGGGTGTCCGAAGCCGAGTGCAGTTCAGGGGGTCCTTTCTGATGACAGGAAGGCACTTCTTTCCTCAACACTGTGATCTGACCCGTGACAAATCTGTCCTATACGCTCTGTAAATGGCAAGCAGTCCATTGCAAACCAACTGAATGTACACATCTTAACGCCGGTGCTGAAATCTCTCCAGAGTAGTCGTCGTGATTTCACAGTTTGTTCACAATTTGCAAGCATCACGTGTCAATCCGAACTGAAGATGAAACACTAATGAATGTTGGATTCTCATGCTTTAGGTGTGCTTCCTTTTTAGATTTTTCGGTTCTCTGCTATTTTTACCGTACTGTTTCATTTACATTTCCTACCGCTAACTTCGTTTGTGTGATTGAAATAAACTTGCAGTATATACATGTTGCTTGTTTGTGACGCTTAGATGATACTATGAAATAATCTGTCGGCTCTACAATAAGTTCTTCTGAATGTGAAAAGCCCAGGACTTCACTCCCCAAAGTTTACACAGCTCGTCACTGTTCCTTCCAGATTTCCTAAGTTGAAAATACTGAGTAACACAGAGGGAAGACGTGATCATGTGTCTCCTCCGTTTGTTTCAAATGGCTGTTGCGTGTCCCCCGGCCCACCTCGGCATGGTGGCTTACTCCTCCCGTCAAGAGCTCAACAGAGGTGTAATATTTTACTGTTTTGTTCTACAGCGTAGACACTGGAACTCACACAGTTACTGTTTCCCTTATGTAGTTTGTGGGTGAAAGGGCCTTAGCAAGCCCTGAATTTTAAGCATAGGAACGTCTGATCTGTGGTGTTTTGTACACCGATTTCATGAAGACTTCGTATGAGCAGGGACACTGTTGAGCTGACTGATTTGGAGTCCGTTGTTGAAATTCTGATGCCTTCCTTAGAGGTACAGTAAGCCCTGTCTTTCCGCTTTCACCACATCCCGGGTTCTCTCCGTCGTCCTCCCCACTGGCTGTGGGCGCCTGCAGCATATCCCCGTCCACAGCTCCAAAAGTGTCAGCCGTCTCAGGCGCGTGCTTCTCTGCATATAGAAATCACAATGTTCATATAGAAATCACAATGTTCGTGTACAAACCAGAAGTCACTTTCCATTCAGAAGTGAATTCAGCAACATGGGGCCCCTGGGAGGCGTAGTCGGTTGAGCCCAATTCTTGGTTTTAGCTCAGGCCATGATCTCAGGGTTGTGGAATTGAGCCCCACGTTGGGCTCTGCGCTCAGCACAGAGTCTGCTTCTCCCTCTGCCCCTGCGCGTGCGCTCTCTCTCATAAGTAAATTCTTTAAAAAAAAAAAAGTGAATTAAGTAACAGATTGCAACCTTCTCAATGTGCCTAGCCACAGCTTGTGTGTCTCCTGAGAGCTGTATGTACCTTCAGTGCTATTGTGAAGAGTTGGCCTCTTGGTTCTAAGTGTTAACCCTCCACGGCACAGTTTACCAAGGAATGCTGTGTCATAACTTTATAACCCCGTAGCCTGAAAACGGTACCACATAAAGTGCACTGTGCGCAAGAACGCTCCAGGGACTCTTGCTCCTTTATGTCTCTGTCCTGTAGTCTCCTTTCCTAAAGACGTTTACTTCAAAACCCCAAACTTGTTGTTGTTGTGCCGTTTTTGTTTTTACTAGAAAGATGGATTTGTGTCCGTACGTCTCCTCAGAACTCTAAGGGATGTGAAAGGGGTCCCCAGAGTGCATCCAAAGGGCTGATGCTTAATACCTCTGACATGTCCCTGAAAAGTCACTTAGTATTTATACTCGGGTGCTCTGAAGTTGTCAGAACCTGGAGCATGTATAAGGAGCTGTGAATGTGAATGAAGTGTTCTAGGGGCCTTCGGTGCCATGCAGAAGGGGTGAAGAACACTGACTCAAGAGTAGCTTTCTCTGGGGTCTGAGCACACTTGACCAAGATGCTAGAGCGGGCAGCCCTCCAGGGAAGGACGTTTCCTCGACCGAGCACCGCGCGGGGGGCCAACATCCCGATGGGCCGTGGGCTTCCCGTGTCCTTCCCGTGTCCCTGTTAGGTTGTCTCTAGAGAGTTTTTGAGAATCGAGAGATTTTTACATCTTAATAATAATAGAAAAGTGAAGCCTTCAGCTTAAGTCTAAGACTGATTAGAAAAGAAACGGCTACAACAGCAAACCTTGGGCAGCCAGGGATGACAGGGCGGCAACGGGGCGCTCCCTTGAGGGGCGGCTGGGGTCTTCTGGGAAGGACACACATTCACACACTGCCCCAGTACAAGCTGTGTGAATTGACCTGCCTTTCTAAGTAGTTTTTCTTTATAAGGTAACCAGTTTTATGAGAAGGTAAGTCTGTGACATGGTCTTAGCGACTTAGGATGTAAAGGAATGATGGCCACGTTTATTGGTTATTTTTGTTAAATCTGAAGAAATCATAGATGTGAAGACTTTGAATTACACAGGTGTCTGTGGCCCAGAAACTCCCTAAACTGAAGTCTACGCACCAGGGCAGCAGCCTCTAGACACGAGAGAGCACAACTTTCTGTTTTAATGACCGCTGTTAGGAACGCTTGCATATTTCACTGGAGGACTAAGTTTGTAGTTATGCCATAATGAAAAATCTGTGCCAAGGCAACCTCCAAGTTCCTCGTGTGTAAATTTAACTCCCCTTCGCTTCTGAGAATGATTTCTTTAGCGGTGGGTAACAATTTTTTTAATATGTGAAGAAGGAATCACTGACGTAGCGAATAGTGTTCTGTGGGTGGGTTTGTTTTCATACGTGGTGGTTTTCCCAGGAAGGCAGATGTGCAGAGAAGCATGCCGCTGGGCCTTTGCACTGCACGAGAAGTGAGGCTTGGGGGAGGGGCACTGAATCCCCAGCAGGCACACGGGTTTGGGTTCCTTTCTGTAGAGGCCGGGAAAAGAGGTTTTTGGCTAACACTTCATGACGCACGTGCCATGGGCAGCTTCTTCACACTGGTTCTTAAAACTCCTAGCGCTTCATGCCCGTAGTCACACCCGTGGAAATTGTAAGTCCCTTTTGAAAACAGGAATGGCATTTTAAACGTCTTTCAATGTGCTTCATTATATTTTAGATGAGAAATACCAACTTGGGATTTTCCTTGCCGCCCACCCCCCACCAGGGTGAACCCGGGGGCGCACGTGGTCTCTCCTGCCTGCCACAGCGTCAGGTGCCCGGTGGCTCCGAATTTCCCTGACTCCGTGCACCCTCGAGTCCGGCAGCGGCGTCTGTGCTCCCAGTGGGCTGTCGCCGCCGCGCTGGGGACTGGCCAGTGGGACCAGTGAGGAACTGACGCAGCGCCCAGAGCAGCCCTGGGAGCTTCTGTGGGAGGCATGGACTTTGTCCCCAGAATCTCCGGAGAGGAGAATTTCCCTGAGAAAACTGCTGGGAGGGTTAAATGTTCAGAAGAGAGCCGTGTTGAAGCCTGGCATCGTTTCATCCGGCGAATGGGGTGGGCGGTGTTCACAGCCCTGGTCCTTCCCCACATTGCGCCTGCCCTGGGCAGTGTCAGCTGCTGACCTTGAACTTGAGGTTCGTGCTGCCTCTGAAAGGGGGCGGTGTTCCGGGACTCCTGAGGAAGCCACGCATTCGCCCTTTCCCGGGCCTGGTGCCCGGAGCTCCCCATCTGCGCGAGGCCCTGCAGGCACTGCCGGAGGTCCTGGGGCCGCGGGATCGGGGCCTCCCAGGTCTGCCTTCACCTTCCCCTGTGGCCACTGGCTGGTTGGTTGATTCTTTTTTGATCCAAGAGAAGGGAAGAAAGCCCTGACTTCGCTCTGCAATCTTAAGTGCAGCTTTTAATAAGTGTTTTAAATCTTAGACCCTAATCACTGAGAAATGCGCATCCTGCGTGGGAACAATAAGGAAGGATTCGCGAGGTGACCGTCAAGGTCAGGGCTGTCACATAAGGTGCTGCTGGTGCCCGAGGGGACGACGGGTATCCGCTTGGCAGCGTCCATGCGTTCTCCTGGTCACAGCCCTCCGCCCCGAAGCCGCTGCTGCTCTTCACGGCTACCCCGTGCCGTGCGATCGCATGAGACTTGCGACCCCGCGTCTGCGACAGGACGTCCTTGTTGGGACTCTTTCTGGTCCAGGAGCTGCATGGGGTGAAGCTGCCCTCCTGTGTTTCTTGGGGAGAACGCTCTTCCACGGCTGCCTGTCCCCTGAGCCTGCTGTGCCCCGACCCTTGTGTCCTTCTGTAGAAGCACACGGGTCGTCACTTGCCCCAGCTCCTCAGTTTAATCCCAGCAACTTCTGGGCCGTTGGAGTGAGTGTTGTCCTGAGTCCTTACTTGGCCTCGACAAGAGGAAGGTAATTGGCACGGTCAGAGGTCGCCCTGGAAAGTCTGGGTTATACAACAGGAGCCCTGTTGCGCGGACATTGACTTCAGTTCTCGGTGGGTGTGCGAGTGTTTTGGGATTCTGTGTTTGTTAGCAATAAGATAGCTCTTCGTTTTAGGAGTGTTTCTTTTTTGGGAAAATGAAGTGTTTCTAACAAAAGTGAATGAGCTAGAAGGAAAATGCTATCTCGAGACATCTGTAGTTGATGCAAAATATCCCAAACTCAATTACAGTATTTACATATTTTCATAGAAATTCTTTTTTTGTGTTGCTTGATAAGACTGAGGAAGCCTCCCCGCAGTCTGTAATTATAGAAAACACTGAAAACCTTGAGTCTGTAGCTGGGGGGCAGAGCGTGGGTGTATTGGGGCCAGCGAGTTGGAGGCGGGCCCTGTGGTGCTGGCGGGAAGCTTTCTGTCACCTCAAACCCTCCTTTACTTGACCTTGGGGGCCAAGAGTGGGCATCTGGTTTGGAGCTGTGTATTTTGTTTCTGGGAACGCTGGAGGCGGTGAATTGGCTTTCTGGCCAGAAGGACAACCTCCACCATTTCCACGAAGAGATTTGGAATGTTAAATACATTTTCCTTCCCAGACCTGCCAGGTCGATAGGCCAAAAGCATTAGAATAGCACAAAAGATAAAATGCAAAGGTGACTTTTCCTTATGGTCCAGATGGGTTAGTCTCTCAGGTTATCTTGCTTCGCTACAAATTTTAAAGCTGGAAATAGGCGTTTATGTCCTTAAAGATTATGCAGAGCTGTTTTCTTTACTAAAGATGTGAACACATGCAGCCCACAAAATGAAGGCTTTATAATCTGGGAGTGAGCCTCTTACAGCAGCAGGGATGGAAATCATGCCTTAAAAGTTAAGGTTGAGGGGCGCCTGGGTGGCTCGGTCGGTGAAGCATCTGCCTTCGGCTCAGGTCATGATCTCCGGGTCCTAGAATCGAGTCCTGCGTCGGCTCCCTGCTCAGCGGGGAGTCTGCTTCTTCCTCTCCCTCTGCCTCTCCCCCTTCTTGTGCTCTCTGTCTCGCTCACTCACTCACAAATAAAATCTTAAAAAAAAAAGAA